CCCGCTCGTGCCCGGTGAGTCCCGCCTGCCCCACCAGGACTGTGTCCCCAGCTCCCCACATCCCAGCCCGATCCAGGTCACGCTCTGTAGCCTCCAGTCCTGATGCAGCCAGACCTCACTTCCACGCGGAGAGGGTGCGGAGCCCACCTTTGCCCACGACACCTGCCCTGCCGGGACTGCCGCACCGGCAGAGGGGTGCCCAGTGCCTCTAACCTCACCCACTCCCGTCCACCAGGGGGAAGAAACTATCCTGCAGTTCAACTCAGGGACCCTGACCCTGACGCGCCGGCCCAAGCCGCAGCCCGAGCCCCTCAGCTACCCCATCCTGGAGTGGGAAGACATCAAGTTTGAGGACATGATTGGGGAGGGCAACTTCGGGCAGGTCATCAGGGCCATGATCAAAAAGGACGGCCTGAAAATGAACGCAGCCATCAAGATGCTGAAAGGTGAGCAGTGCGGGAAGGTGGGCAGGGTGGGCTGGGGGACACAGCTGCATTGTGTGGCATGCTCAGGGTTGAGGAAGGGCAGGAGACATCAGCGGAGGAGCAGAGAAAAGGCCCTTGTAGGACTCAGGCATCCATCCCTTCTTCACTTCCAGAGTTTGCTTCGGAGAACGACCATCGAGACTTTGCTGGGGAGCTGGAGGTGCTGTGTAAACTGGGCCATCATCCCAACATCATCAACTTGCTGGGTGCCTGTGAGAACAAGGGTGAGGGCTGTCCCTCTCTCCCCCCAACCCAGCCCCACAGCCCCTGGCTCCGTATTCCTCTTTGCTGGGGAGACCCCCACGAGCCCAACCTCTTCCTGCCCCCCAGGCTACCTGTACATAGCCATTGAGTATGCTCCCTACGGAAACCTCCTCGACTTCCTCCGCAAAAGCCGAGTCCTGGAGACGGACCCGGCCTTTGCCAAGGAGCACGGCACTGCCTCCACCCTCACCTCCCAGCAGCTCCTCCAGTTTGCTTCAGACGTGGCCAAGGGGATGCAGTACCTGAGCGAGAAGCAGGTACATCTCCCACAAGCCCCTCAAAGCATCCTTCTCCCTGGAACTCCCCATCAGGGCACAAGAACCCCGGGGCCAGCAGGAGGGAGTGTGTGGCTCCTGCTGACTGCTGGCCCCTTTCAGTTCATTCACAGGGACCTGGCAGCCAGGAACATCCTCGTAGGAGAAAACCTGGCCTCCAAGATTGCCGACTTCGGCCTCTCCAGAGGGGAGGAGGTCTATGTGAAGAAGACAATGGTGAGGCAGGAGCAAAGCACCTCTATGGGATCTGCACCGATGCAGTGGGCAGGATGCCCACCATCGGCAGGAACGACCCACCATGTCGGGACTGTCTGGGTCACGGCTGTCCTCTGTCCTCGAGGCATCCCCCCTCCCCTGACGGTCACTCTCTGCTTCCCCAGGGCCGCTTGCCGGTTCGCTGGATGGCCATTGAGTCCCTGAACTACAGCGTGTACACCACCAAGAGCGATGTGTAAGTCCTGCAGGCAGGACTGCTCCTGCTCCTGCGAGAGCACTTCCATCCCTCTCTGGAGCACTCTGCAGCAACGCTTTTGCTCTGGGCACTGCAAGGGCAGGAGGTGATGCTGGAGCATCCTCCTGGGGAGCTGCCAGCTTAGCCCAAGCCCTGGCTGCCCGCTCCGCCCTGGGCTTTGCCCCGTGCCAGTCAGTGGGGCATGGCTGTGGGCTTTGTCACAGCCTTGGCTCCTGCCCTTTCAGGTGGTCATTTGGTGTCCTGCTCTGGGAGATCGTCAGCTTGGGTAAGGCTCTTCTGTGTCCCCTGCCTCCACTTGGGTCCCTGCAGGTCTGGTCCTCCTGCAGCTCTGGAGGGGCCAGCCAGGGACCGTCCCTGCCACAGCCAGCTGTGTGCCTCTGGCTGCAGGGGGGACGCCATACTGCGGGATGACGTGCGCCGAGCTCTACGAGAAGCTGCCCCAGGGCTACCGCATGGAGAAGCCGCGTAACTGCGATGACGAGGTGTAAGTGAGCCCCAGCTGACGGCAGCACCCACATCCCCCCAGCCCCACCACCCCACTGGGCTCCCACCAACTTGCAGTGACTCCTGCTTGGTTCCCCTCTGCACCGTGTTTGGGGGGTGAGCTGGGGTCCCACATCCCAAACACCCTTCCTGAGCTTTAGTTTCCCGCCCACTTCCCTTCATCTCCCACAAACAGCTTTTCTGCCCCCTGTGCTCCCAGGTACGAGATGATGCGGCAGTGCTGGCGTGACCGCCCCTACGAGCGCCCACCCTTCGCCCAGATCTCCATGCAGCTCATCCGCATGCTGGAGGCCAGGAAGGTGAGTGGCAGCAATGGCAGACACATCACCCCAACTCAGTGGGAAGGATGCCCTCCCTGTGCGGAGCTTGTCTGAATGCTGGAGCATCCCCTGGCTCGGGCAGGGGGACACCCAGCAGCAGAACCTGTGTGACCCCACCACGTATAGGGGTAACCCCAGCATCACTTTTTGAGTGCAAGGAGTCCCATCACCTCCCCATGGGGCACAACGCCCACAGGTGCGCCAGTGGTGACAGGAGGTAGATGGGGACACCATCACAACTGACTCCTGACTGGGCTTCCCCCGCAGGCCTACGTGAACATGGCCCTGTTCGAGAACTTCACCTATGCGGGGATCGATGCCACCGCCGAGGAGGCATGAGGCTGCGCTGGCACCGTGCACAGGGGCAACGCTGGCCCCAGCTGCTGGGACAGTGCTGTAGGGACGAGGGGCTGCCCGTCCCTGCTGGGGCCAAGAGGCCAAATGCCGGTGCTCCTTCCCGAGAGAGCCTTCCCTGCAGCAGGACTGCACCTTCTCCTCCCTGCCAGCCCACCCAGCTGGCCACGCTGGCACACCAACAGCCACCAACACAGCTCCACGCTGCTGGGGGACACACTGGGATGGCCCCCAAGGGCAAGCAGCAGCAGGGTGTTTGCAGCAGAGCGGGCAGGAGAGCTGCCCTCTCAGGAGGCAGAGTGACACCGCCTGAGCCCACGGACACAAATGCCAAAACTTCGGGGTGAGAAGGGAAGCAGCAACCTGGCGGCTGCCTGCCCTGCAGCTCTCGGCGTGCCCTGGGCCTGAAGTGGTGCCAGCGGGGCCACAAGCATCACTGCTGGCATGGGACGGGGCCACCCCGCTGGGTGCAGAGTGACAAGAGACAGCACCAGCTGTGCACAGCCTCCAGCTCTACGGTAACTCTTCGGAGGTGCCAGCTCTGCCTTATGGCAAATAAACATAGTGCAACGGACAGCTGCGTCCAGAGGAGGGGAGGGGAGGTCCCAGCTCTGCCCCACTGATGGCACTGGGGAACAGGATGCGGGGCCCTGATGGGCTGCTGCTGCAGTGGGCACTCCTGGGGATCCCATCTCCTTTGGGGTCCTCTGATCCAGGGATGCCCCAACACCCCTAGACAAGCCCCAGGTCTCATTGTGCTGTGGGGATGGGTTTTCTTAGTACCCAACTGGGATCTCCCCCCTGCAGTTTAAGACTTTGTCCTGTCCCCAGGGGACATGAAGAACAGACCATGGCCTTCCTCTGTGCAGCCACCTCTCACATGCTTGAAAACTGTTCCTGCAGCTTCCCCTGGGCTGGCTGTTCCTCACAGGGTGGCCTCGCTCCTCCAGCCGGTCCCTGCAGGGCCGCGTGGCTCCATACCCTTCCCAGCTCAGCCAGCTGGTGCCTGTCCAGCGCTGCACCGAGCCATCAGGCAACTTCCCGTGGGCTGTGAAGGGGCCGTTGTGTTTGACCAGGTGGGTCAAACGCATGCACTGGAGCAATTCTCTCGCGCGTGCTGGTCCCTCAAGGATCGCCCGGGCTCTGCAGTGACACTCCCGCGGGAGCTCCTGCCCCAGGCTGCAGTCCCTCATCCTGCACTGCTGCAGTTTGTTATATGGACAGCAGGTGGGCTTCATCTTTGTTGGTTTCAGCTTGCTAAGTCCCAGGCACACCATCCAGCTGCCCATCTAGTTGTCTTCTGCAGTCCGTGGGAAGCCAGGGCCTGTTATCTCAGCCCAAGGCAGATGTGTTTGGCATTTGCCTTTCCGGGCAAGAGTCTTTTTTCCCTGGAAGGTGGTTCAACCCTGTCAATAGCATTTTGATTTCCCATTCTGGCCTCCAGTGCTCTTTGGTGTCAACCGCAGCTGTTAGTAAGCAGCCTCACTGTCCCATCACTGAGGTCTCCAGTGAAACAGTGATGGGGACCAGCCCTCACAGGCAGCCTGACCTGTGCCATTGTCCCTGCACCTTACAGCAAAGCCCAGTAGCCAGATGGAGAAGGAAGTGGGACTGGTTGGACAAAATTTGATAGTGACAAATTGGTGCTGGCTGTTCCCATCTCCCCTTGGTGTCCCTGGTGCTGTTCCTGGCTGCTGCAGAGTGACAAGATTCCAACTCACCCTTGGTAGGGTGGGGACGTGTGAGCAGCTCCTCATGCCCTGGCTGGTGCTCCCCAGGCTGCACCACAGTGCCATGCTCCGGCAGGGTGGGACACCCTTACGGCTGCCCACGCTGAGCAGCCGTGGTGGATTGGCACGAAGCTGAGTGTGCCTGCAGGACCCCATCACGGTGGCCCCACTCCTACACTGGCACCACCAGCATCAGTGTGGGCCCTGCCAATGTCCCCATGGCTGCAGCCCTCCTTCCGGCACAGCCGCGGGGACAGTGCCACTGGTCTGCGCAGAGCAGACCCAGCACACACCAGTGCCGAGTGGCAAAGGGCAGAATGGGGACAGAGCAGCTTCCCTGTGCCCCACGCTCCTGCGTGCCTGCAGCCCCCAACAGCCTGCCCTGCCCTGCTTGCTGCATGTGAGGGCCTCCCTGGTTTCTCAGGGGTTGTTTTTCTTCCTACTCCAGTCTCCCAGCGAGCCAGTAGCCACAAGGACAGGACATGCAGCCTATCTGATAGGAGCAGTCTCTCTTGGCACTGCGGCTGGGGG